TCAGGCCAGTCCCTGGCATAAATGAGGTCCTCTTCCCAACGAGCCATGAAAAGATTAGCCAGGCTCAGGGCAAATTTTCGCACCCATAGTGACACCCCTAATCTGCAAGTAAAATTGTTTATCAAACCAAAAAAAGTTATGGATATAGTGAAATCTAAAAGGTTCAAGATAAAATGCTTTCTGAGTGTCGCTATACTTATCAGTCTCATGGAGGTAATAATATACTGCCTCCATCCCGTCTCTATGGCTTATGTTGCTTTATAATGATGCAATGTCCACTGTGGCTAAAAAAAGTGTCTGGGAGTAACGGTGATGTTGCTAACATCCAGTGCGGTCTGTTTATATTACATACTAACGGCTGTAAAAATACATCAATATACTCCACTGCTCTGGAGAGGAGGAAGTCAATGCCATTAATTGATAGGTCATCCTGGAGGGTGAAGTGGGTCTTTGTGTATCTTGGGTAGCCAATACGAAATGGGTATTTTAGGGGCTGATGGACATAGATATTCTCTTTCTCTTTTTTTGGTGATAGCACCATTTTTGTAGCCAGTCTTAAGACTTTTAAATTCTTTTTTATCTGCTATAGTGGGGTTTCCTAGGTAAAATCTGGTAGGTAGCTTTATCATTCAAAATGCTTCCTGCATGTATTCAGACTTATCCATAACTACTACACCACCTCCCTTGTCCGTGGGATGAATTACCAGATCCTTATTGCTAAGGAGGCTCAAGACACCGTTAGAGATGGTATATAAAAGACAAGCTGTGACTGATCTGTGATTACCAGTAATGGTGACTCTTCTCCAACTCTTCGCCATCTTTTTTTCTTGCTCTTAGTTTGTTTTACAGCCGAATCCCAGTCATGCCACGGAACACCTAGACACAGAGATACATTAGGACTAATGGCTACTAGGTTGTCCAGATCCCCCCAGAAGTAAGATGTCTGAGATGTCATTTTCTGCTGAAGACTGAAATCTTTATGGAACTTTATTTTTAAAACAAAATTTATATATTGATTAAAATCTTACGTTTCAAAAAGGGGTGTACTCATATATACTGAACACTGTATATTAAAGTGTTCCTAAACCTTGCATTCGCTACATCCGCTCTCCCCTGACATGGCATTCACTATATCCGCTCTCTCGGGCCCGGCATTCACTATATCCGCTCTCCCCGGACCCCGCATTCACTATATCCGCTCTCTCCGGACCCCGCATTTACTGTATCCCGCTCTCCCCGGACCCCGCATTCACTGTATCCGCTCTCCCCGGACCCCGCATTCACTGTATCCGCTCTCCCCGGACCCCGCATTCACTGTATCCGCTCTCCCCGGGACCCCGCATTCACTGTATCCGCTCTCCCGGACCCCGCATTCACTGTATCCGCTCTCCCCGGACCCCGCATTCACTATATCGCTCTCCCCGGACCCCGCATTCACTATATCCGCTCTCCCCGGACCCTGCATTTACTGTAACCGGTCTCCCCGGACCCTGCATTCACTATTTGCTGCTCTCCCCGGACCCTGCATTCACTATACCCGTAGATAAATAAAAAGAAATATAAGTGAGCGCATATAATGAGATTTATAGTTAGTTGTATACCTAGTAGTCGTTAGTACTGTAATAATTTATATATTCATAAATGCACATAAAAAGAGTATAAAAGCATGTTCTAAAAAATTATATGTAAAATTATGTAAATAAAATTAATTACGGATAAACTGCTAGCACTTAAGGTATCGGTAACTGTCCCAATGTAAATTTATATCATAAACGTGCAGCACAGTAAACTCATGAAACATAAATATCTTATACCATACTCGAATATATAAAGTGCAAAATGAAATAGCTGCTAGCACTTAAGGTATCGGTAACTGTCCCAATGTAAATGTATATCATAAACGTGCAGCACTGTAAACTCATGAAACATAAATATCATGTCATACTCAAATATATAAAGTGCAAACAAGTGCGTGAACAGTGCAATCAAATAAATCACTGAGAGTCCGTGACGACCACAAATATTATACAGCAGGCAGTGAAAAACTGCTAATGTCCTTTATCCAATTGTTTAAGTGCAAACGTGCGGTTATTGATGAAGAGAATCCACCGCCTCGGATGGATGTACACGCACCAGACTGCAAGTAAATCAGCGCATCTGTTTATATCACACATCTGGGGGTATAATGACAGCTCCGTATTTACTCCTGTAGCTCCCTCCATCCATCAGTTGGGGCAGGTATCATCTAATGCTGGGGGAATCAGCTCAACCACTGGAGCCAGAAAGTGCTTATATAGTGCAGTATTTATTGATGAGTTTAGATCACAGTAGTAAGAAAACATCCACGTAGAGTAAATAAATTTTAAAATCAAATACCAAGATGGCCACCGCTCCTCGGTAAAGGAGGCATGACGTCAGCAATGTAGGCTCCCTACGATACCTTAAGTGCTAGCAGCTTTTTCATTTTGCAGTTCAAATATTCTTGTATGATATAAGATATTTATGTTTCATGAGTTTACAGTGCTGCACATTTATGATATACGTTTACATTGGGACAGTTACCGATACCGTAAGTGCTAGCAGCTATTTCATTTTGCACTTTATACATTCGAGTATGATAAAAGATATTTATGTTTCATGAGTTTACAGCGCTGCACGTTTATGATATACATTAAACTATACCTGCTCTTCCTGGACCCTGCATTCGCTATATTCGCTCTTCCGGGACCCCACATTCACTATATCGGGTCTCCCACAGTACACATAACATGGAAGTGCAATTAATTTAGTAAACAAACTGCTAAATACCTTTTCTCATAAGCAGTATATAGCAGTCTTGTGACTTCTATTAGTGTTCAGCAGAGCACTGTTTACAGCTTGTAGGAGGAGTTTTCATTCTGCTCTAGGAGGATGCAGAACCCCTAACCTGTCTGGACAGTGCTGTTTGGCCCTTTGCTAGCCCTTTGCTGATCACAAACTCTAGTAATACATACCAAACTGAGCATGTGCAGAGTGACTTCACACAATATGTTTTTATCAGGAGATAAGAGAGGGGCACTGAAAGAAGGGGAGGATCAGAGAAGACAGGATCAAACAGCCTTTTATGCAGAATGCAGAGGATTTCCTCCTTAGGCTCCACAGTGAGTAGAACAAGCATGCTTTACTGCATATACAGACTGATTTTACTGGGATTAGTAGCACTTTAAGGGAAATCTCACACACACACCATTTTTTTTTCTTTTGGCTGCCTGTGGCTCTGGACTCTCTGAAAGTCCGACCCCTCCTGACACACTACACTCCTAACCGGAGTAAATCACCACCAGAATGTAAGCTCACACACCGATTGTAGTAAACTAGTATGAGGTTTATAACAAACTGCAATATGCTTTGGTCATAGAGCATGAACAGAATCGGCGTTTGCGCAAAATCAGTTGTTACTTGCACCAACGTTAAGCAAAAGAAGAACCAACATTTACCATAAGGTCTCAGTTAATGTTGGCAGGCATGCTCTTTGGAAAATACCTACCCCAATAACTTCAACCTGAAGTGGTCTTGCAATCCCCAGTGAGCAGCAAGAACTATCAAGCTGGTGGACTAGCTCACTTCGGACCCTCAGGACCTGATGGCAAGGAGAAATGAGAAAAAGGATCACTTTAACCCAAACAACCAATGTCTTTTTTGAATGCAGTGAGAGTCTTCTGCACGTGTGATGGGGCCCAGTTGGTGCACAATCAGAGGAGGTGTAGATAATGGTTCCCTGAGGAGTAATGTGTGAAGTGAGAGTGAAGAGGAAGAACAGTACTCCCCTATGAGTAACAGTTGACCTGAGTAATGCCCCTTTAACCGGCTCCAGCCCGCCATATAAGGAAATGATGGGCAGGCGGCGACTCTCTCGTTCTGGGAGGACGTCATATGACATCACTCTAACTGTGCATGTGCGCCCCGGCAATCGGTGGTGCGCTGTGTCCCTTGGACACAGCGGATCACCTATCTTAGTAAAGAGCCAATGACGTCGGCTCTGTCATGTGATCAGCTGTTTCCAATCACAGCTGATCGCATGTAAGCATGGAAATGCCGGTTATCAGCAGTCCTCTCCTCACGCTGACAGTGCGTCAGGATAGGGGAGCTGGTAATCGGTATTCCTCAGAGGGGACATCTACACACTGATCATCAGTGCCCTGATGATCAGTGTAGCCCCATCAGTGCCACCTGTCATTGCCCATCAATGCCACATATCAGTGCCCATCAGAGCTATCATTCAGTGCTGCCTATCAGTGCCAGCCAGTGCTGGCTATCAGTGCCAGCCAGTGCCGCCAATCAGTGCCAACTATTAGTGCCAGTCAGTGCCGCCTATCATTGCCCATCAGTGCCGCCTACCAGTGCCTGTCAGTGCTGCCTCAGTGCCATATATGAGTGCTGCCTTTCAGTGCCCATCAGTGATGCCTGTCAATGCCTACAATTGATGCCTGTCAATGCCCAGTGCCACCTACCAGTGCTTCCTCATCAGTGCCGCCTATCAGTGCAGCTTATCAGTGCCCATCAGTGCAGCCTCATTAGTGGACATCAGTGAAGTAGAAAAGTTACTTATTTACAAAGTTATATAACTGAACATTTTGCAAAAAAAACATTTTCTTAGTTTCTGTCTTTTTTTTAGTTTTGTTTAGCAAAAAAATTAACACCCAGAGGTGAAATAAATACCACCAAAAGAAAGCTCTGTCTGTCTCAAAACAATAATAAAAATTTTGTTTGGATACAGTGTTGCATGATCGCACAATTGTCATTCAAAGTATGAGAGCGTTGAAAGCTGAAAATTGGCCTGGGGATTGGAAGGGGGTGAAAGTACCCGATAGTCAAGGGGTTAAAGCATTTAAGTCTCTAACAATCACTTCTTCCAGATCACATCTTATTGCCTTCATTTATTAAAGGATTGCAGCTTTCCTTTGGAATGCTGGACTATTGGCACTCTAGGAAAGTCTCTTTGGAGATTAAATGAATGGTGTTGATAGCATGGCTATGATTCAGCCTGTGGAATGACTGTCCTGATATCATCAGGCTGTGGTAAGTGTAGTCAAGTAGTAAAGGCTGGAGGAACTATATGCAATGTTTGCAACCATGGCTGTGGATAAGGGGGTACCACGAGTCCTCCTGTATGGGGCCCAGGCCAGCAGAGGGGCCCAGGCAGCTGGGTGAATCAGATGTGGGCAGAGAGGGTGATCGGTGTGGCGCGGGCAATTACTGGAATTGATCTCCTGTATGGCTCTCTGGGCAGCAGCTTCTTCTCTGACTTTCAGCTGCTGCAGAGAGAGACATACTGGGGATTGGGTCCAGTATTAACCCCACCACACCCATCACCCTCCCTGTGCACCATATGTTTCCACCTGCTGCCCAGGACCCCCTGTGTGCCCGAACACTCACTTTGTTCATTCATAACTAAAGCATAGTGACCTGTTTTATTTTTTTGGGGGAGGGCCTTGTCAGGTTGGCTGTATGAGGCCCTGTGGTTTCTAACAGCAGCCCTGTCTGCAACTGTGTGTCGGGAACTAGCTTATGTGGAGCAGGTGTCAGTGTTCCCTTTCTCAGGTGATGATTGGGACTCTCTCACCTGAGGGATGGTGTCTGGTGAATCCTGGCAATCTCTCTCTTTTGATAGAACCTCCAATCACTCTCAGGTCCCGCCTGCAGTAGTACCATCCAGTCTCCTACTGGCAAAGTAGCTCTTGGGACGATGCAGCAAGGTCAGCGATCAGCAGATTCTCATTGCCCCCCTTCTCCCTCTATTTTCACAGACAGGTCCAGCCTTCCAGCAGTCAGCATACTCCTCTCTCTAAAGCTCTCCCTTCTAACTTCCTTTCCAGCCTCCCGGACATATATATATATCTCCCCCGCCAACTTGCCAGCTCCTCTAGGAAATGTAGTTCCCACATACACTGCTCCTTAGCAAAGTCCTGCAGTCCAGCATACAAGTTCCAAGGGGCTGCTCCACAGAGTGTGCTGTACACGCACATGAACTTTAATGGCTCCCAGTCTTAGTCCGTAGGGTTCAATATTGAGTTGGCCCGCCCTTTGCAGATATAACAGCTTCAACTCTTCTGGGAAGGCTGTCCACAAGGTTTAGGAGTGTGTCTATGGGAATGTTTGACCATTCTTCTAGAAGCGCATTTGTCTGGTCAGGCACTGATGTCGGACGAGAAGGCCTGGCTAGCAGTCTCCCCTATAATGCATCCCAAAGGTGTTCTTTTGGGTTGAGGTCAGGACTCTGTGCAGACCAGTCAAGTTCCTCCACCTCAAACTCGCTCATCCATGTCTTTATGGACCTTGCTTGGTGCACTGTCATGTTGGAACAGGAAGGGGCCATTCCTAAACTCTTCCCACAAAGTTGGGAGCATGAAATTTTCCAAAATGTCTTGGTGTGCTGATGCATTAAGAGTTCCCTTCACTGGAACTGGGGGGTCAAGCCCAACCCCTGAAGAACAACCCCAGACCATAATCCCCCCCTCCACTAAACTTTACACTTGGCACAATGCAGTCAGGCAAGTACTGTTTTCCTGGCAAGCCACTCCCAGATCCCCCTCACAGAGATCACCTCGGGATTTCCCACCTCAGGTCCTCTCCTCTGATTGGCTGAGAGGGTTCTGTCACTCACTTTACAGGCACAATTCCCAGCTCCAGTGTTCCCGCCTTCTATATCTTCTTCTCTGATTGGCTGTATTCTCCCCACAGCCACCAATCATAGATAAGCACAGTTCAGGATCTTTCCAGAATCACTGAGAGGACTCCACTATCCACAGAGATGAGACTTCTCCATTCAAGTCCATTTAATTTCTTCTAGACATCTGAAATCCTCCTACAGTTCATGATATATACCTTTATTATCCAGAATGTCTTCTCATAGATGCTCTGTACTTAGTCCTGTCACTGTTGTGCCCATTATGAGGGGTTCCCACCATCCCTGTGCTGAGTTTCCTGGGTCTGTATGCCTGGTGTGCCCATTATGAGGGGTTCCCATCATCCCTGTGCTGAGTTCCCATGTCTGTACGCCCGCTGTGCCCATTACGGGGGGTTCCCACCATCCCTGTGCCGAGTTCCCGGGTCTCTACACCTGCTATATATATAATATATACAATAATAATCTGTATATCAGAAGAGTGAGAATCTCTCCTACCTGCTGGATCAGCTCTGGGACGCAGACTGAGGAGGATACGGAAAAGAGCTTTGACTGTGTACCATGGAATACAAAATCATAAACTGCATACAGTGTGAACATTGCTCCCTAAGAGTGAGATAATTCGGTTTATTACAGGCTGAAGTGGAAGACTGAATCCATAACAGTTCCCGTTAAAACAAGGGGTTTAGTTTGCACACATTTGCAAACATATGTGTAAGCTGCAGAGAGGCCACATCACAGCACCCCAATTGCATTTATAAGCATTTGTGGTTGAAATTCTTTTAACTCTTCCAGTTCCCGATACTGGCCAGAGCCCTTTTTCATCATGAAAAATGCATGCAAAGCATTTTCAAAGTGCTCAGATGGACAAAAAACTGCACACAGGATGTTCCTACCAAGCTTGTCACTCCTAATGACCAATTCACACCTCAGACCTCTCCCACCATTGGAAACAAAAGATATGTTAATGACCATTCACACCTCAAATTCCTCATGAAGACCCCCTTCCAGGTAACCTTAATAACTAACTCCAGCCACCTTTCCCACTCTTGGAAACAAAAGAAATGTTAATGAGCAACTCACACCTAGCTAATGTAAACACCTACTTCTGTCTCTGCTTCTGCTCTCTGTATTTCTCTG